GTTGTTGATGGTGTTGTTATAATGTTGTTGTTGTTGATGTTGTTGTTGATGTTATCATCATCATCGTCGTCGTCGTCGTCTTCATCATCGTCATCGTCTACCATGACGTAGAAGTTGCCGAGTTTTTCAACAAAGTTAGTTACTGCATCTGTCTGTGGCATCATCTCAACTATCTGGGGTTATAATTTTCATAATTTATTCATTTATTCTTTTATTTATTCATTCTTTAGTTCATTCATTCATTCATTCATTCATTCATTTATCAGTTCATTCATTCAATCATTCAAGTTGAAAATAACTTCGAGATTTAAAGAAGTTATGACGTGTGGTTATGCTGTGTATGGTATGCATGTTCATGTATGTGTGTGTGTGTGAATGTGTGTGTGAATGTTTATGTATGTGTAAGTGTGTGTGCGTGCATGTGTGTGTGTGTGCTTGTTACCTTCTTAAGTTCATTGACATACATTTGCATTGCTTGATCTTTTGATGTTTCTTTCAAGTGATTCCATGCGTCCCTAGTAAAATACAAACAAACATACAAACATACATACATACATACAAGCAAACAAACATACAAAACATACATACATACAAACATATATTAATAACAAACATACATACATATATACAATTATACTTACATACATACACACCTAAACAAACAAACAAATATAAAAACATACAAACAAACATACAAACAAACAAACATACAAAACATACAAACAAACATACAAACACACCACTTAGTTCTTCCGACAATATCATAGAAAGCAGGCCTGGAAACATTACACTGACCAATGGTGGCCTGCTTAAACAAAGAATAAAACATCAACTGCATCTCTGTCGATGGCTGGAAAGAACCTGGCATGTGAAAATTATGATTTTAACAATTACTTTATTATTTTAATCTTTATACTATTATTATTTATATTATTATTATTATTATTTATATTATTATTATTTATATTATTATTATTTATACTATTATTATTAACATTAATAAATGAAAATTTTATAAAATTTC